TGAAGAACTCTGATCTTGATTATGAGACAAAACGGCTGTTTCTGAAAAGAAAATTCATTTAGTTTTAGGAATGGAGCATTTAGCAGAGTGTTAAAACCGTAATTCTAAAACTGCAAAGACACTTGAAAAAACTTTTATAAATCAATTTTACTACGAATAGAAAGAAAGCAGAAAAGTACAACCCTTTTGTAGATTCGAACCTGCCAGAGGGTCATACTTTTCTGCTTTCCCTTTTTTTTCTTTGAAGAGTTTTTGAGAGTTAAATCTGCAACATAAAATGTAGAAAATTTAATTTTTTAAATTCTATGTGCTGGGATCAGCTTTTTAGAAATCGTTCTTCAGTGTAAGAAACAGTAAATATCATTTTCACCCTGAACATCGATTTGTATAAAGTTGAGTACCGCAAATGAAATCTGGAACGCAAATGAAAATTAAATTTATCATATTTTTGTCTCTGAACTCAACTTTGAAAAACTTTTACTTCATGGAGTAAACTTGGAAATTAGGCAAAACGATGATATTTCTTATTTTTCACCATGATAAAAGACTTTCCAAAGTTAAGTTTTGAGACAAAGATATGGCAAATTTAATTTCCTAAATTTTATCTGCTGAGCTCAGCTTCTTACAAATCGACCTTCATGGTTGAAAACGATATTTACTGTTTTCTACCAGGAAGAACAATTTCTGAAAATCTGATCCCAACACGTAGAATTTAGAAAATTAAATTTACTACATTTTACTAGCATTTTTGAGAGTTAATAACTCTCAAAAATGCTTTTTTGAAAGGGAAAACACAAATCTCCAAAATCTGTTCTTAATGATTTCATCACTCATCAACTACTCTATATATACCTGGTATAGCTTTATTGGTTAAAACGCCGCGTACTTCTACTCTCAATTCGCAGTAGGCATGTTACGAGACCGAGATACCCGTTTTCTCATGTCTCGTACCCGGGTATAGTCTCGTGTCTCGTTAGTAGGTATGTAACGAGACCGAGAGCGAGACCGGGGTTCTCGTATACTCGCTCTCGTACCCGGGTATAGTCTCGTAGTCTCGTGTCTCGTTAGTAGTCGTATAATAGACTAAAACCTGATACTATATTATAATCATTTATTTTAATTCAATGCTTTCCATTTGTGACTAATAACTATACTTCTTGCTAGAACACATAGGTACTTTTCTGTTCATTTTTCTTTAAGCAACCAAACCGAAACTTGATGCTTTTTCAGTTGCTGTTTGCTTTTGAAAAATTAGTTGCGTACGGAGTCTCATTTTTTTCGGAAAAAACAATCGGTCCCTTACGATTTTACACTGCTCAGTCAATTTGAATAAACATTGAAGTTTTTTCAACTTAAAAGATAAAGAAACTTTGTTTGTCAGCAAAACAAAAAATGCATAGGGCCTTCATACTGAAAAGCTAATAGAATGAATGAAAGAAAGAGAGAATCGCTCGACTTCAAATGGTGGGGTGTGTCGAATATCTTTCGATATCCGGACACCGAACTATTTGGGTCAAGACGGTCGATTTTTTTTCTTCTTCTTTTATTTTCATATCAAGTTACAATGAAAGAGCAACAAGGTGGATGGATAGTAAAACGCTACTTTTGCTCGTAGCTTGTTGTTGTTGTTGTTGCTAAATGTTCATTCATCGTTGTACACAATTTTGTCCCTGAGATACATGGACCAGCAAAGTGTTTGAACATTTAGTCGACTCCTCTGTTTTCTTGCTAGATATGAAGCAGTTGAAAATGCAGACTCGGCTGGCACTGAGGTAGGAGACGTAGAAAGATAGCCGGGTAAAGACTACGAGACTATACCCAGGTACGAGAGCGAGTATACGAGAACCCCGGTCTCGCTCTCGGTCTCGTTACATACCTACAGTAGCTCAAAAACTACGGTTTTCTAGAAAACCATACTTCTTAGAGTTTTAGAGAAAACTTTCTAGAGAAGAATAAAGAGAGGACGTTGAGAAACCCTTAAGCACCGAGTTTCATAAAGTTTGGTTCAGTGATTATCGAGATAGCCTAGGCCAACTTTCTCGTGTAACACGCGTTTCCTGAATGAAAACGAGTTAGAGTTTCTCTACGATTGCAGAAAAGAATATTCTGCATCTTTTTATAAGCGCAAACTTTTTTGTGAGAGATGTTCTTCGAGTAGAAACTGATTTCCAAGAAAGTTCTAGCTTTCCAGCTATTTTACATGGGCGTTCCCGAGAACATGATCAAACTGCACCCGCCGCGGATTCGTCTTTCCGCAAGATAGATGATAATATAGTTTTTAGTTTTTAGTTTTTAGTTTTTAGTATTCAGTATTCAGTATCTAACTTTTAGTTTTTAGTTTTTAGTATTCAATTTTTACCTTTTAGCTTTTAGGGTTTAATTTTAGCGGTCTGTAATAGGGAGGAGTATTGAGAGCAATACTGGATTAGTGAGTTTATTACAAAACACAAATTGCTCTTGTTTATTTAACAAGTCGCTTCTTCTTTCAACGTCATATATAGACCATTCTACTCGCACGTTTTGTGGTAAACTGCTTTTCTACTTTTTCAAAGTGAAATTGCCTTTCACTGCATAATTAACTATGATTCTCATTGTAACTACTTCGGTGAAATTGAGAATATTAAGGAATAAAACCTTTCCTATTTTCTTGTCTGTTCTCTTGCTTTGAGAAATAAAATTGCTCTGTTGTTGACCTCAATCCCTGAGCCTATATGGATCATTTATCTTGATTGAATCATGTTCTCGAAGAAAAGCCCGAGTAAAACATGAGGCAGTTAGAGCTGAAAAAGCATCAAAAGGAGACCGGTTTGATTTGTGAACATCTGCAATTACATAATATCTAGATGTTCAAATATTCAAATGTAAAGATCCTCAGTTCCACAGATATCTAGATGTACAGATACATTCATGTTCAGATGTTCAGGTATCTTTCTGTTTTATTTCACAGTGGTGAATATTAGGGAGGGGCTCACTTTCATCTCCCCGCCCCCCCTCATCCACCTTCCCTTTTCAAAAAACAAGCTTTTGTGCTTTTCTACCTTCTCAGAGAAATACACATTTTGAATCTATGCTAGAAAAGCAAGCAAAGCTTTTCTGCTTTTCTTTCGCCATGGTTGTATGTCGATTTGTTTTCTTCGCTTTTGGAGACCGATCTCAATATCTAATAAGCTTTCCCAGAATAATTATTTTTCCAGAAATCATAATTGTGAAAATCAGACCTTACTGATCAAAAGCTATTGCGAAACAACGTTGAGTTTGTCAATCGACATTGTCAGAAGATAGCTCTATTCGAAATTCCGAGACTGATTTCAGTTCTGAAAATTCATGAATCTTCATTTATCTGCTTTCTAGCATGAACAAACTAAAAAACCAAAAACCAAAGTTGGTTTTTGTTTCTTATGCAAGAGAAAGTATCTGTACATAAGGAAAACCAAGAAAACACTAGAGTTACTTGGTCACAGTTCCATACATGGCAAAGAAAAATACTGTTAATCATATGATTTTATTGTTCATTCGCATTTGAACAGTTTGTGTTAGTGGAGTTTTCGAATAGTAAAGTAGTTTTTTGTCTTTTCATCGTGGAAAACGGAGTGGACTTCATATTATCAAAGTGTATATTCAACTTCTTCTGAACTAGTTATTATAATAACTCTGTTCAGCATACCACCTTGTGTTCGTACTTCCCGTTCGCTCATTTAAAACTAAAAACTAAAAACTAAAAACTAAAAGTTAGATACTGAATACTGAATACTAAAAACTAAAAACTAAAAACTAAAAGTTAGATACTGAATACTGAATACTAAAAACTAAAAACTAAAAGCTATGAATTGGCGCGCTGCGGGTTAGTACACAGTCAATCCGCCGTGTGTTACGTATGATCATGATGTGGCGTTCCCATTTACCCAACTAACTTTCATGTACGTTTCCAATTGCCCCAAGTGGGGTAATCGGAAACATTTGAAAATTTCTCAGCGTTTACCTTTTTAATTAGAGCACAGGCTAATTAATGAGTAGAGCTTGGAGATTCTCACCATTTGTAGAGCAATAAGGGATCTATTTACCTATGCAAAAATCATTAATTAGTATCATTGGCTTAACGAGAAAACCGTTTTTTACTAATGAATTATTCTCCGTGTAAAATACATGGCGTATCCAATTACCCCATCAATTTCTATTGTTGTTTCCAATTGCCCCAAGTGAGGTAATTGGAAATGTTCATTAGAGCTTTCAGCAAAACACCGGGAAGTTCGCTTGGGACAGAGAGTTTTTGACAATTTTTAGATAGACTTATAGAGAACTTCCTCCTCTACCTACCTGTAATAAAATCTCAAAAAGATAATTAAAGTTTACAAAGTTATACTAATTAGAAGTCCAGAGAGCATAAAATCGTTTCCAATTGCCCAGTTTACTCTATTCTTTTTTGTTAGAGAGAGAATGTATTACTTGTAAATTACTTTAAAAGTATTTCTTCTAAAGTTAGTGTAGCACCAAAAAAAATGTTGCGAATTTCTTTATTGATGCTGGAAATCTTTGGTAAGGCATAATATAACAGATGTAGCGATGGTATTTAATGTGTATATTTTCTTTAATTGTTTATTTTTAGTCTTACTATTTATAAAAACAGTTAGTCTAACTTTAATTGAAACTGCGGATGCTGTAGAAAAAGATCATTGGAATAATAATAACGACAAGAAAGAAGAATTACGTCAACTAAATGTACACAATGATGACGCAAAAGATTTACAATGTAAGACTTTATACTATTCTCACTCTGTCTACTCTCCTACGAAAATGAATACTTAGGTCGTTGTTTAGCCTACAAATTATTAATAATGCAGTTCTAGAACTACTCGGCCCTTTTTCTCACTTCCTGGTATAAAACTGTCCGTTTATATGGAAAACTATTTCCCTATAACAACGTCGAAAAATAAATTTCACTGACAGCTTGCATTCTGCTTATCTTAGTTCGAGGTGCTGTTTAGTGAACAACTGCATCTATTTTTCTTTGGAAATATGATTTCTAGTGTTAAAATTTTGACACTTCTAACTATTCTTAGTCGGATTTTCCCACATTGTTCGAACCACTTCTTATAAGTCGACGTTTTTAACTTTCAGCTTAAACGCAGTAATTAAGTTACCCAATCGTACATTTGGATCACAGATTCGACCATCTTTTTTTTTCGTTCTTTTTTCTGTGTATAGCTTTATCAGACGATGATTATTATTATGATTCAAGTGTAATTCCAATTGTTCGTCGTCGCAGAGGAATTGGTGGTGTGGGTGTTGGCACGCTAAATGGTTTAGCAAGGAAACCCGTAGAACCTTTGAAAACTGGAGTGCGGAAAGTGAAGAAACCAGCAAATATCTATTAATACGGCGGCTTATCAGATGCGTGTTGTATTGTGTGTTCACCTAAATAATGATTTAATCAAATCCTCATTAGCTTTTTTTGTTTGTTTTTACAAATAAAAACTCATTTTCTGATGTAATATTTCCTAACAATAATATGTGTCTCCAGATACTTTCTTCAAAATTTTAAAGTCTAAACTGGTCTCAGGACAGAGGAACAAGAGATAAATCAAGGTGAAAGTGTTCATCGATCTTCCAGTCCTATCTCCTCCCTGGATTTTAGAGAAATAATTTTTTCTCTGATCTCATTCGAATCTCCACATTCTCAAGAATAGAATAAAACTATTGAATTATACGTTAGTTTTTACGTATGCGTAAATTTTCAGTCAGTTTCAACTAATTGTGCATGTTATTTTCAAAAGAAGCCTGATCTTGAAATATAGTGTTTTAGATGAAATTTTTCACGAGGAATAGGAATAGGTATTCTTGAAACTAAAAACATCATCGAACGGAAACAACACAGAAGTTTTGAAAATACTACCAAAGTTCGTTTTTTCGCCCCTCAACTAGTGTTGTGATTGTTCGGGCCAAGAGAAGCTTTCAAAATCTAAAAGTGGCATTTTCTTATACAGTTTTATCTGCTCTATCCAACCATATCAGAAAAGCGAGAAGAAAGTTCGCTCGTTTTTTGCACTTCCGGCACCTTACTGTGCACTGAGATTATGTACTCTGTCTACATAGAATTAGAATTGCGAAATAAATAAGAAATCGTAGGTAAGGATTAAAAATGAAAATATTGGGTTTTGTTCGGCATTGAAAGAATTCGTTCCGGGACGGTCATATCACATCTCTGCATATAGCAGAAAAAAATTAAACTGCATAAAGCCAAATTTAGTCTTCAGTAATACGACTGATCACCGGCAAATGGAACAACTATTTCTCGCGTTTCTCATTCTGCCCTCCATTACTTAGGGCAACCCAAAAGTAGTGAGGGAGGTACTTTATTTTCTTAAGGAGAGCTTCAAAAACATTTCTCTTTTAATGAACAGATAGAGCGTCTTTCGCTCTATTTTTCTATGCTATTTGATCAATATTCAACTAATATTATACTAATAAAATTTCGATAAGATCAGTTTCTTTCGCATATATGCTGGTAGCATGGACATGAATGCTCGTGAGTATTTTTTGAATAACTGTTGATAGCAACAAGATAGAGAACTGCGGTTTTCACCGTTCGAAAGAAAAAATGAAGACGCATTGAACCATATATTACTGATTTTTCTAACCTAGTTTTTGCAAGGTTTTTAGTTGAGCTTTTAAAGGACAAACCTATCCTGTAAGTTGTTTACAGTAAATTTTCAATAATCAGGCTAACATTCAAACCGCTAATCGAAGATCTACAAACAGCAAAAGACTCAGATGTTTAAATTTAATTATTTCGGGATAGTACGTATTTTAGACGAACCTCTACTACGATTTTCTATCAACTTTTTTGTTTTTGCTTTTTTTCATGAACAAAAACTTTTCCGGCGGTTAGAAAATTGAATAAAAACACTTCGGAAATCATATTAAAAAAATCAGTAATATACAGTTCGATGCGTCTTCATCTCCTCTTTCCAACGGTGAAAACCACAGTTCTCTATCTTGTTGCTATCAAACGTTATGCAAAAAGTACTTACGAGCATTCATGCTACCAGCACATATGCGAAAGAAACTGATCTTATCGAAATTTTATTATTATAATATTAGTTGAATATTGATCAAATAGCATAGAAAAATAGAGCGAAAGACGCTCTATCTGTTCATTAAAAGAGAAATGTTTTTGAAGCTCTCCTTAAGAAAATAAAGTACCTCCCTCACTACTTTTGGATTGCCCTAAGTATATACACTTTTACTAATTTTCTTCGTTTACTTATGAGCAATCTAGGTGAAGTTTCACAGAAAACAAGGAAATAGTCTTGTGATTTGTACTTTTTTACTATAAATACTCATACTCAGTTTTTAATCTCTCAATAAGCTTTTGTCTTCATTCTGTTTCTGCTTCTTGCACATCATCAGATTTTGCCGTTGTAATAATTGTATTGCATCTTCATTTTCTTTCATTTGTACTAAAATGTTTTGCTGTCGATCACGTTAAATCAGTTTCAATTTAAGATCTCCCCAAGTTCTCTGTGATGCTTCCTTACCGGAGAATTTTGCAGCTACGAAATGGTGTCACGGTCGCTTTCGAGATATAAATCACTTAAATAATCTTTGGTAACTAACATTGAATATATTACAATTACTTCATAATTTAATAATAATGCCCAGCGTGCTAAATAAGTAATTGAGCCTCTCACTGCATTTAGATTCGCAAAACCTATATAAAAGAAACTCTATCAGCGTAATTCTGTTGTAAATAGGAAAACTTCTACTGAGACATATACAAGATGAAAATGGTCAAGACTTAAAAAGTGACGATCGCTCATCGAAAGAAGAGAATCAGAAAGGTTCCGTAATAACACGATCTCGAAATTAAGTCTCATAAACTTACTTCTTTTCAACTTTTTCGGGAGACTCCTCAGAAGTTTTTTCAGAATCAAAGACTATAGTATGCGACGAGCGTATACCTTTGTTACCGCCTGAATATCGTTTTATTTCGTATTTGTACAATGATGGTGATAGTTTCTGGTTCTTCAATAAAATAGTACTATCAAGTCGATATTGATGAGTTAATTGAATACAAGAAATTAAGGGTGAGTCTATTGGCACTTCCGGGAGTGTCAACTAGAAGCTATTGGCGCTCCTACGGAGTGTCAACAAGGTCAGCGCTGATTTGTCAACTTTGCAACCGTGTAATTCCTAACACGCAGCGTTTTCTTTGGAAAAAAAACAGGTATCATTTTTCGGAAAACAGAATATACGTGTACTATTTGAACTTACGCCGGTGACAATGTTTTTTCATTTAACCATATCGCACTGGAGAGAAACTTGAAATAAATTATACTTCTCGCGAATTAGAACTCATTTACAAACAACTCAAAAATTAAAAAAGCTTCGAAAGAACAACATTTAATTTAAAATGCTCGGCTCCGGAGAATAAACCACTTTTCCGACATAGCTTTTACACTAAGTTTGCCTGGCGACCGAAATAGCTCCTAGTTGCCACTCCCGGGAGTGCCAATAGCTCCTTGTTGACACTCCAAAACACTTGCTGGGAGTACCAATAGCTTCTTGTTGACACTCTTGGGAGTGCCAACAGCTCCTTATTGACACTCCCGGGAGTGCCAATAGCCATTCCGAGAAATTAAACTAGACGATTTTTCTACAGACAAAAACAAGTGAAGTATTTGTGATTTTGATTAACTAAACATACGCTGGTAACTCTAAACACTCAAGGTTAACACAATAGTCTTTCCCGACGAAATTACATTTTTATATATTTTCACTGTTTCTCTCTGACCTGAAAATTGTAACATAAAATCTAAAATGACAAAAAGATGCATACATATTTATTTGATCTGACCTATCGGTTTGTTTTTATTTAAAAAAAGACTGAGATTCCTAGTATGAAGAGCATAGGAGTCTCATCATGCATGAATGGAGGGCTGTAGAACAGTTCATGGACTGACCGTACATCTCTACTACACGCACAAATAAAGACCAAGGAGAGAGCTAAAAAGTTCAAAAACTTGACTAACCACTGGAAAATTTTGACCACGTAAATTTTGAAACACAGAAGCGTTTAAAGCGCGAGCGAACGCAAAGTTTTTTAAGAAAAATCAAAGATCGTACGCGCTTTAAACGCGTCTGTGTTTCAAAATTTTCCAGTGCACAGTTTTAACATCGAAACATTTTTTATTGAAGAGTGCGTTTTCCGGTTTCTTATTTCTCTCGTCTGTTAGATATGGTCTTGCATCAACTTTCTCTTCTGCTGTTTCTTATTTTTTATTGCTGTGCATAACAAATCACATCATCAACACAAAAGTAAAATAAAATAAAAATAAAAGTAGTAAAAGAAATGAGAAAGGAATCGTTAATTTGTCTTTCTTACCCTAGAAATTTTACTTAATACCTTCAGGTTAAATAAACTCTTTCTAGGACAAAGAGTCGGATTTGTCGTTGGATTTTTCTGTATTGTGCATTCTTTTGCCTTAATAATAGGCTTAGAATAAGCTTGAATATCACAATCAGATGTTGTTTTTAGAATTGTAAAATAGCTAGTGAAAACTATATTCCCCATATACTTGAGTAAAAATCCATTAATTTTGTCTTCTACATCATCATTTAAACGCGTAATTAGACGTTCTAAATCATGTTTAATTGCAGTGATGAAATAACCCATCGTACGATATCTAAAGAACGAAAGAGAACATTTTTCAATAGAAAGTGGAAAAGGAAATAACGGACGGGGATTGTTAATATTAAGTGAGTAAAAACTTTCTGGTGTTGATTTAAACTATATTTATTGAACAATTCTTGACAAAATCATTCAGGTTCTTTGAAACATGATTGATTTTATCATTGAATGATAAACAAACTTTTTTCGCCCAGTTTGTTCCATTTGTCAAAAATTTTCGAGAAAAAAACTTTTCTTTCAATATATAAACTTTACTCAAAGAATTTTCATTATTCATTGATCTCACTCGCTTAGAGCAAGCTTGTTACTCGTATGCAAGTGTGACGACTTCTCTCTGCAAAATAACAACTGCAAGTCCATGAGAGAGGAGAACAAAAAGATTGGATACATACATTTTTGATCCCGGAAAGTAAGCACAATTGATTCTGTGTACTAATTTTCGCAAAAAAATACACAAATGATCCCGGTTTTCCTAATAATTTTTGATTAGTTATATAACAACACAACTGATCCCGGAAAAAGCATTTTTTTTTCGCGAATAACGTAATTGATCCCGGGAAATAAGCAAGTCATGGCACTGCACCGTCTTTCAACTGAGGCTCATTGACCAACTATGTGGTCCCACTTTAACCATAGGATTTAACTGCACAAAACATTGATATTATGGAAAAGACAAAAGAACAG